AGCTTGAACAAAATTAAAACCTGTGAGGAAAACACATTAAAAGTTTTATTATGGTAAACCAAACATGGGTTATATAGAGCAGGGATAGGCAACCCTGGCACTGCAGCTATGCTGAATCTACAAATCTCATCATGCTTCTGCCTTTGGGAGTCATGCTTGCGGCTGTCAGAGTCTTGCACTGATTAATGGGAATTGTAGTTGAACTACAGCTGGAGCAATGAGGTTGCAGACCCCCGATATAGAGGAATGTAGATTGAGGCATCAGAAACTGTTAAACGCAACATGCATACAGTTGCAGACTTACCACTTAAATGCCACTAATGCTGCACAAATTCAGATTAATCTTCAGATTCTACGGCAGAACAATGTTTACCATCAATGCAGATGGAAAAAATTATTGATAAAACGTATAATACATTTCCAGAAGTATTCGGAGAGTAAAAATATACTCTTCCCATTAGTTTGAGTTGATGTGTTACACTGACGCTGCTGCTGTCACATGCCGGCTCTATAGCTCAAGAACCGCTGATTGCTCAGCTCATGGCTTCTCCCTACTGAGAGTGGTGACAGTCACCACTGCCAACAGAGATTTCCACCTCTCTCTGTTCCTCCAGTGCTCATTAGAGGGACAGGCAGGGTAGGGGGCAGGCACAGCTGGCTCTAGAGAGGCAGATTCAGCTGTCAGACAGCCGGGTGGTTCCTGAAAATAATGTTGGGATCTTTCCTGCCTGCAGCGTGGCTCTGTGCTATCAGCATACAGCGGGCGGTAGACCGCTATATGATGAATTTTGGGTCACACCAATACATTAGTAAATATACTCCTGTGATCCAAAAGAGAACTGAAGCAAAAAAAAGGTTTTGCTATAGTTCTCTTTTAATTCACCCATTAGCCAAATGTATAGTGCCTTTTACTTCAGAGTAAAATTAAACTTTCAGAAAAAAAAAAAAACATCAATCGAAAAGGAGCAGTTTGGAACATTTTTCTCGAATGAACGAAATTCTAACCGTGAATGTGGGTTTCGTATGAGAAACTCTACCCTGTTTCCCTGAAAATAAGACCTACCCCGAAAATAAGACCTAGTACTATTTGTGGGAATTGCTAAAATATAAGACCTACTCCGAAAATAAGACCTAGTTGTGACCATTGCCAGGGCCGGTGGTGGCATAAGGGGGAACCTGAAGAGCCGCGGGAGAGAATCAGCGGTGCCAATGAAGCCAGCACTAGAGGAAGTGAGACGGCAGCACAGGGAGCAGAGCCGCATAAGCCGATGTTTACTCTATAGCGCCAACTCCTGTCACAGCTGGAGTGATACGAAATGCACTCTGCCTGTGAGGAATCTATAGTGAAAGTGCGTTTCACTTTTTCTGGTTACCAAATTGCTCTTGGAAAGGTACCCCTGATCACCCTATTCTTAACTTTGCCATTTTGGATTATTTCATTTGGATTTGCATTAACTTTGGATTGTTATACATTAAAAAAATATTTAAAAAAATAAGACCTACCCCGAAAATAAGACCTAGTGTGTTTTTGTGAGCCAAAAAAAATATAAGACAGTGTCTTATTTTCGGGGAAACACGGTATTCATTCAACTATCAAAAGTTATCAAACAACATTTCAAAACATATTCTACAATTTTCTGATGGCATTATCAATTGTTCACATGAGTTTTTTCATGAGCGTTCGTAAGAAAACCTGCCAGTGTTTGACCGGCCCAAGATAAAATACAGCTAAAAGCAACAAGTAGTTGACAGCAACTAATAGCCACTGCAGAAACTCTCTGTGGAAGCTCGCCCCCCTTCATGGCAGTGGAGGCACAAATTCTCTTCCCCTCTGGATCCCCATCCCACAATACAACGTCTGAGCTACCTAACTGAACACTCAGGTTCTGACATGTTCAATGGCGTGATTGTTTATATGCAAATAAAAAAACTTAGAAAAAGTTGCTATTTGCATACCAACATTAGAAGGTCTAGGCGACTCTCAGATGAGACTGCCTTCTGCAGCAACCAGTATGCACTCACAGCTGATGCTGTCAGCTACCAGTGCTGTAAGCTTTGTTCTTTTTATTCTACAACAAGTTTACTTTACTGTAAACTAAAGACAGGCATACACACATTTTCTTTGTTCAACCTGCGAGCTGAACGAAGAAACTACAACGGATACCTCCGTCAACATTTTTGAGCGTTGTTTCGAGGAATCTCCCCCGTTTCTATTGTATTCAGAATACACAAACAGAGCTTGCAGTAGATTGGCTGCAAGCACCATTCAGCCAAGACAGTGGCATCAGAAACAGACCAAAATATGCACCATGTACCGCGTTTCCCCGAAAGTAAAACCTACCCCGAAAATAAGACCTAGCACTATCGTCAGGGATTTCTGCCCGGCACGCCCCCCCCCGCCCGCACGCCCGCCCACTTGTCTGTGGCTCCCTGGACGGCAGAGCGGACAGCTGCAGCCAAGCCAGGTAAGACATCCCCCGAAAATAAGACCTAGTGTCTTTTTTCGTAGAAAAAAATATATAAGACACTGTCTTATTTTCGGGGAAACACGGTAGTATACCCGACTTAAAAAGAAGGAGAACTATGAGGTGTGTAATTTCCACTCATCCTCATAGTTGGAGCCGATCTGTGACAAAGAAGCTGTCACAGGTCGGCTCTATCGATCGGGAAGTGAGCAGAAACATGCACTGATCCGCTCACTTCCCGATAGTCACCGCTCCCCGCAGGGATTCCCACGCCCCTGATCCTCTAGGGCTGAGAGGAAGAACGGATGGGGGAGGGGGCGGGTACAGCCTGCTCTGCCTCTAGATAGGCAGAGCCAGGTGTCACTCACGCAGCTGGGTGGATTCAGACAGTATTGTCGGGATCTGTCCTGGCTGTGGCGCTCTCAGCATATCGCGGGCAATAGTGACGGGAGGATGCTAGTATATGGCCGCCCCATAGTTCTTTGCCCCATAGTCCTCTTTTAACTCCCGAATTATATGACTGAAATGAAACAAACAGTAAGAAAATGTTAAACTCCTGATCTGCATAAGATTTCTGGGTAGTAACACAATATATTGAAGCCACTAGATCTGTATTACCAGGACATACATTTTCTTTTTAGGAAGGAGAGGTAAACATGGTAGCCTCCATATTTCACCAAGTACATTTTCTTAAAAAAATGTATGCCGGTCATTTACACTGGTACAAAACAGCCTCACACATTATAATGGTGCCTCACCTTATGTCTAAATTGAAGTACCAGGTCCCGTGGAGATAGGCCTAGAAATAAGCATTCAGTATTTTAAATGGAGAAATCACCTTTCCTTCAGACAGTCATTTCATCTAGTTTTTTTTAGGGATATTTAGTCTTAGCAGAGTATTTGGAATCAGTTCACCATAAAAACGAATATAATGTCATGGAGATGAACAAAGAGAGATACGTTTGTAGTCCAGCATGGGTGACAACCATGACTCCCACCATACAACACAGAAGTGACTGTAGACACAAAGGGACAGGAAGTGTGTTATTTATGGGATTACTATGTGAAAATTAAGAGAACAAAGCCTTAAAAAAGAAAAATGAACGCAGTCACCACATCTAGGGACTGGTATGCTGCAATACATAACATTTTTGTCTTGGGGTTTAAATATACAATATATATGCTGTTCCCAAAATGTATCGATGTGTTTAGCAACAGAACTATTGCTCTGTTCTATGACAATCACAGACATGGTGTAAGATTTTACATCATGCTGGTAAATTTCTATAGTGGACTACACACTCGGGATCATTAATGCTGCATCCCATATCGAATATGACTGTCACAAGTCATGGTAAAAATTACCACACTTTTGGGAAGTATATAAATTGTGGCTTACGGCCATTGTTGTATGACTTCCTTTTATGCTTTTTCTCATGGTAAAAAATGCAGTAGATAAAGCAGACGAAAATAATCATTAACTCAATTGTTTACAAGGATAGCAGAACAGGGTGTGGCAGTGAAAAACACAGGCTGTGGCTTGTACAATACACAGAAAAAGTTGCAAGAATTTACCACTGTTCCACCTAAATTAGCGATAGAGGAATGCTTAATTTCAGGAACTAGAGATGATAAATCTGTGAAGGTTCTCATTCATCCAGGTCATGGTATATCTGGAAAAAATAAGTCAGGGCAACTGGACTTGCTGTATTTTTTTTTGACATTTTACTGGTCATCCAACCAGCTTTCTCAATTCAGAATGACTTCTATAAAATTCTCTGGGAATAAATATGGTGAATGTTGCTCCAATCTACATTATCTATTAGTTGCGATTAGGTGTTGATTACATTTGCATAATTGGAGCTTTGCAGGTTATTAACATCTCCCATATCCAATTATGCAAATGCAATCAACACCTGGTTGTGACTAACATTGTGTGGATTGAAGCAACATTCACCATATTTATTCCCAGATAATTTTTGTACAAGTCATTCTAAATTGAGAAAGCTGGTTGGATGACCAGTGAAATGTCTTCAAGAAAAATACAGCAAGTCCAGTTGCCTTGACTTATTTTTTTACAGATATAGATGATAAATTAAGAAAAACAAAATAGCTATTTTGCACAGACAGCTAAATACCTAGCAGCCAAACCCTTGCATACCTGTTCTGTGCAATTAAAGCCACTTAACCTCTGGAAATGTGTCCTGGATCTCATTATCCGAATTACAGGCCTCACAGCCCCATGGGATCCCTGGACATGTCCGTTTCATCTCATCAATGACTTGTTGGAGAGGTATATGAAAACTTTAATCGCCAACAGGTTGAATGCAACAAAATCTCTAATATTGGAAATCACCCAACACCCCCAAGTATAAAAAAATGGCTTCTTAAAGTAAATAAGATCCTGAAGAGCTCACAAATTTGACAGGTGATAAGCTTGAAGGGTTCCATAAAACTTGGACCTGATGGATTGATTTTACAACTACAGATACTTATCTTGGATTGATTACAACTGCCGATTGACTATTGCTGTAATGATAGATACATAGCTTTTGACCCGGACTACAGCTAAATAGGTCTATGGTTAAGTCCTTGTCTTGTGTATTGACCTGATCCTCTCGGGTGCTATGTTATGTAATGATAGGTATGTTAAATATGCGTTTCATCAATATTTACCCTTTATTTATACTTGCAACATTGGCCTACATACTGGAATCAGAGGAACTATTGCAGTTATAAATGGAAAGCTTTTCTTGCACTGTGTAATGAAATTGGCTAATGCCACATATCACTCCTGTGTATTTTTTCTTAACTGATCACATTTAAAGCATACAGGAAAAAAAAAAAAACCTATGTGCAGTACATGCGCACTCCCCTTTGATCTGTTACTTTTTTTTTTAAATTCCAAAACATCTTTATTGGGTAAGAACACGATATATCAACAGTATCACACTACAACACATAACAATGCAGGCGTAATGCAATAAAGTCCAGTTGACAAACAGTAAAGTAAAAGCTGCAAAACAAGTACTAACTCATCGAACATCACATAACATAGGTTCTAAGATATCAATGGTACTCGACATAGAAGAGCGCAACGTGCATCACATTCGGATCTGTTCTTTTAAATGCTCTGCAAATATAGAAAAATATATTTTGATCTGCCAGAAATACACTCAGCTCCTAAGTCCTGCTAAAAGGCTGACAGCACATAGCTTGTGTGTGGACTAAGTGGTGTCAGCCCTGCCCAGTGAGTTTTACTAAACTACTCAGTCATTCTCACAGGCTAATCATTCTGTAGTCCAAGATAAGAACTAGAAGGGCTCTTTGAGATAACACACAATGTGTCAAGATAACACAGGACAGCTCTGCATTTCTGACAGAGTAAAGGTTTTTTTTTGCACTTATCAAACAGATATAACAAAATGCTTTCAGTGGTAAAATGAACAGACTGAAAGGGAGCAATAACAGACGTTCATTGTTTGGGTTTACATACACATATACAGCTTAGGCAGACAACAGAAGGGGGTAAAAGGAACAACTTACCCAGATACAATTGTGATCCTTCTAATGTACTCCATGTAAATGAGCTATTCATATGATCATACAGTTCCTAAAAAGAGATAAATCATTTTAGACCACATGCAGTAAAATGTGTTTGTTCTGACTTTAACAGTTGTCAATGGTCATTCCCCATCCCTTTGTTGCCTACTGATATTGTACGGATTGAAGATAATCTCCCAGCAGATATGAAGCTGAAAGACGGCATAAACAATGTTATTTCTCTTTTCTATTCTACTAGTCCATCAATCCACCATATAATGGAGAAACTTTAAAAAAAATGTTGTTAGGTCGAAACCCAAATTTTTTTTTTTCTAACCCATTTAAAAAAAAAATATATATTTTTATTTTTCTGTTGGGGGCTCTGGGAATCTCAGGGGGTCTAAACAGACCCCTGATATTTCCCTTTTGAAATAGAAAAAGAGAATGAGGACACAGAGTCCTAAATCTTTCTCTGAAGCCCCTGTGATAAACAGGAAGCCTCTGTACTAAGTGCTCCTGTCCAATCATAAAGTGTGGATACAGTATGAGTTACTATGTCCACAATCAAGAATGACCAGGAAGTGATGTAGAGCGCTTCCAGTTCATTCATAACTGGGAACACAGTAAACATACTATGTTGAGTGCTTGGAACTGCTCTTCATTCTGACCCATTCAGTTGACACAGGAAGCTGAGCGGGCGGTGCGGGCAGGAGAGCTTGGCGTCCTGTGACATGGCTGACAGCTGACTCCTCCCCCTCACCACCGGCTGAGCTTCTTGTGACAGCCGACTCCTCCCCTCTCTCTATCCTGAGTCTTTGCTCGTCAAAGGAGGCCAAGTGAGGCGGTGCAGGAGGCCTCCTGTGACAGCACTGACAGCGCTATCCTCTCTGCCCCGCTTGGCTTCCTGAAGGTTTCCCTCCTCCCCGCTGGATGCTGCTCCATGTCAGAGGGGACACAGAGCAGCGCCCAGTGGGGAGGAGATAAACTAGAGATGCACCGCAATTTCGGCCCAAAAAATTGTACTTTCTGCATTTTGCCCAAAGTACCATTTTATGCCGATATGTTTCGGTGGCCAAAAATTCAGTGCATCCATAGTGAAGAACATGGCTGCTTCCATAGATACTATGGGAAACTGAGTGTAAACATGAAGGTTTTTACTTACAGCATTATAAGGTGAAAAAAAAAAGGTAAGAAAGCCTGAAAAGAAAAGTAAAGCAGCCACCACATCTCAAGGCTGGTAAGCTGCATTATACACAACTTCGGTTTTTGGTTTAGTATAAATATGATTTAATCAGTTTTTTGTTCTTATAAAACCATTAAAAGCTAAAAAGAGAGAGATAAATGCATATAGAAGTGCGGTTATATTTGCCAAAGGATTTGTAATTTTGCCCATCCAGTCCTGAGATTTCCATGGCTCCGCCACACAGAACAACCCTGTCTGGCAGGGGAGGGAACCTGCTGTTTCTCTGCTGCAGTTTCACTTTCACATCTCCTCCCCACCCAGTGACTGCAGAGTAAACATTAGCAGCACAGTGATGAGCTCGTCTCCGTTTCTCTTCCTATCAACAAGCTCCGTGCACTGAAGCATTGGCTCCTGCTCCCCCTCCATGAGCTCTGCTGTACAAGGACTGCAAGATACCAAATCAAATTCAACCCCTTACATTGCTTGTGTTTAAATAAAATACATTGAATTATGTATTGATGATTACATAGCTGTATTAATAAGTGACTTTTATATCGGAGTGGAGTTCAGCTTTAAATGTATGAGCACTATAAGTATCTGAATCTGTCTATAAATCAGCTTTACATAACCTCCTGCACGGTATGCCTCAGAGCGGGAGAGATAAGAGTCAATGTTATCAGCCACTCTAGTGCAATGTACAATGAGAGCCTACTAACAAGAGAGGAGTAAAGTGATGACCCCATTGGTGTTTTGATAGTCCTTCACTATCCAGTCAGCGGGCTAGGTGTAGGTTGGGGACCTAGCTGTGATGCACAACTTCAGTGGAGAAATGTTAGGCCACCGACCTGGTTTTCTAGTCTTGCCCAAACAGTCATATCTTGTTAGGTTAGGCCAGAGGTGAGCAACTCCAGCCCTCCAGCTGTGCGTTAACACCGAACACAACATGCCTCTGCCTATGGGAGACATGCCTGTAACGGTCAGTCTTACAATGCCTCAAGGGACTTCAAGTTCCACAACAGCTGGAGTTGCCCAACCCTGGTATAGACAGTGGCTATATAGGTATTTCAACTGTTTCTTTTACATTTTTGTCTGGAATTCACCTTTAAACAGCGCAAAATCAATTGGATTTTCAGGACAGAAAAGTCACTGTGGATAAAGAAAAAAGAACTGGAAAAAAACAAGACTATTAGGCACTCGGGTTATATTTCTTTAGTGTGGGGGTGTGCTACATACCTTTAGAATTGATATCTGTGAAAAATCCTTCTCTTCAAAATAGGCATGAGTGATTAACTGAAGTTTTGCTTGAAGTAATCCATAAAGTGGCTGCAAAGAAAAAATAAAAGCAAAATAATTCTATTACACTAACCCAATTTGACCAATTTTACTCATACACATGTAGAATAAGCATCACCAAAACGTCAGGACTGAAGAGTAGTTATATAAAAGCCATGAGACCCATTTTCAATTTTTTATTTTTTTTTAACACATTGCATCCTGCATTTTCTCAAATTACACTAAAATAGAACTTGAAAATGAACTTCCCTGGAGCATTTTATTTCCATTCACACATTAACAAATCGTCTTCTATGTGACTCACTTCTAGCCATATGCTGCAAAGTCTTTCAACAGTTTCCCTCCTGACTTTATTGCAATATACTGTATCAGGAAGCAAGGCTAACAGGATTAGAGCTCAGCGATAAACAGGAGAGGAAAGCTTAGTAAACCGAATGTGAATCAGGAATCCATCATTCCTTTAGGGGGGCAGGGGGAAGTAGGGTTTATTAGGATAACAGCTTTCTATGTCTTAACAGCCAGAGTAATTAAAATTGGACAACTTCAGTTGCCTTCATGATGGGCTTCTTAGCTCCCTGGGATAACCAAAAACCAAGGTTTACTGACGGATGGTCTGCCCCCTCCCAAGAGCAGGATCATTTAAGCAACCTAATCTTGAAAGTTCAGGATTTTTGCTGATCTGTAAAATTTAGGAACCAGGGCATTTACAAAAATAATGCCAAAAATGTATGGTTTTAAGGTGTACTGGCTTCCTGGCTATATAGATTTGTCCAGCCTTGGGATAAGGAGTGCCAAACCAGAAAAGTATTAAGGCACACCTGGTTATAACATAAACCCTTAGTATTTTCCAGCACACTGTAGACTCAATCCTTCCTCCTATGGTGTAAGTACGGAGATCGTAAATTAATTTTCAATCCTAGAAGATTTTGCCACCAGGAGGGACTGTAGCAGAAAAGCACTTGCATCTCTCAATGCAAACCCTTCCAGAGATTTGCACTACACCACTGACAGGTCCCAGCATTCACAGTGTTCACTCAGTAGTGTCCATTTCCACAGAAGGCATTCCTTTTTACCAAAGTTCACTCACCAGTTTCTACACTATATTCTGTAGTAGTTCTTCTCCCAAGCTACACAAAGTTTTCTGCTACTTCCCAGTCAAACTAGGTTCTCTGGCAAATTGTCTCGAATACAACATTTTCTGATGGCTTTCCCCCATTGGAAAAACTATGCACTCTGGCAGCTCCCCACTTACCGCTAAACATTTCTGGCAGCTCTTCCCAACTCTCTACACTAGATTTTCTAGCAGCTATCCTTTCACCGGAACATTCTGGCTACTGCCTTGTTGCCGCCTTCTTCTTCTCAAGTCTTCTGCATTTTGCATTTAACATTCTCCACAACACTGCACCACTCTTCCTGGCTCTGCCATGACTGGCACCTTTCTAATACGCGCCACCTCTTGTCATAAGGGCGCCAAGGTTGGTATAAATAACTGCATTCCCACTACTCACCTATAGACCGTCTGTAAACCATCATTCCTCCAACAAAAAAGGAAGGAAGGACTGTTACTACATTACCTAGTAGTTGTTGTAATGCTTAGCAAATCCTCCAACACAACATGTAGCACTGCACCTTGTTTGCATTGCCAAGTCCCTTCTGTCTAGTTTCCGCATCACAGGAAAATATAAAATCATAAATCCCCACACTGCTCTACCCTTCAAGCACAATCACTTCCTGTTCTGCTTCTTCTCAGTCAGATTCCATTCTACCCACCACACCTCTGGCAACTATTGGTTCACATTTTGTCTCCCTCCATTACCAGCAGCTACTACTTTTACCCCTATCCCCACCCCCTCATCATGATCACCCCCTGCTTGCTTCAGCAAAAAAATTTAAATACATATCCACTCATCAACACCACACCAAGGTCAGCCTCCCTCTCCATCATTATGTAAGAGTTTACAACGGCCAGGCTTGAAATCTGTACCAAAAGCTTTCTAGATTGGTGAAATTAGTCTTGTTGAGATTACAGTTAGGCACCAGCTGCTTGAAGTCTATAGAATGAAGACATATATTATTAATGGCCTCGCATTATTCTGCCTAGCAATACAGCCCATGCCGCTGATGCTTTAATATGGATGAATCACTTTGTGCATTCTTTGGAAACCGTAAAAAACAGTGTCTTACCAGCTGACTCAAAACACAAACACTTTTCTGTACAGTTTCCCGGGTAACATCTGCTTGACGTACTTTCAAAGTCTGCAAAGAACAGAAAACATTTCAAATTAGAAAATTATTTTCATCATAAAAAGCTTTAAAAGAATACAAGCTAAATAAAAAAGAAATGAGATAGATAGATAGATAGATAAATATATCTATCTATCTATGTAATAAAGAGCAATAATAAAGTGACAGACCATTAAAAAATATAATAATCATAAATCTCAGATGTGATAAGCAAATTTCCTCATGCCTATATGCATAAGCTGGCCTCCAAACATTCTAGGCCACAGCTCTAATCAGAATTAGTGACTGTACAGACATTTTTTCAACTGATGGTATCCTGAAAAAACCATTAGCAGGATTCATCCTACTTCCCCCTTGGAAGCTTATTCAGAGAAGCAACAAGCTGCTGCTTAAAAAAGCTCAGTGTTCTGTACTTCCTCAGCAGCTATGAAAGCATTGCCCTGTCATTGAGACACGGCATGGGCGAGTACAGGAAACAAAATTAGTGTGCATCTGGATGACCACAAGGGCACGTTTGCAAAACCAAAATCTCTGCATCCACTCAAGTGCCCTGCATCTAAATGATGGCTTCATTTGTACATAAAGATCCCTGGAGTCTGTCAGTCAAACATGAAGCAAGCCCATGACGAAGTGCGTTACTGTATCTGCCAAATGCAATTCACTGCTCACCTAAGCAAGCCTTTACATTGGTATGAACATGCATTCTTTTCTTTGTATGTTGAATCAGGCCCTTAAAAACAAATCTGAAAACAGAGGACACATTATTAAAAAAAAAAAAAAAAAAAAAAAAAAAAAACACAAGAAGGAAATACCTTTGCTTCAATCTGTCTGTAACAAGAGACGCCATAAACGGTCTTCCGTTCCCCACTTCTTGGCGGGAGGTGAAAAAATATTGTGTCTACAAAGACCAAAAAAAAAACATTTATTAGATCTAAAATGTTTCATCTGCAATGTGTAGTGGAAAAACTAACATAGTAATAGATTTTCAGGTTAAAACTACTACTTGAGTATATCTAAAACCAAGTTAATGTTCCTTTTCATAATAGTATTTATCTTGTAGCATTAGGCCCCATTCACACGTGTGCGTTCCATGAACACGGGCGAGGTGCACATTCGTGAAAAAAGGGCAAAATTTGCAACATACTTGCGTTAATTTCTAATAGCACCAAAACCTAGCCAGCAAGATGCGTGTTTTTTGTTCTGTTTGCGTGTGAAAACGTGCACAAACGCAGAAGCAAAAAACAGGGAACACGTGTCGCGCAAAATACTGCAGGAGCTTTTTTTAATGCAGAAACGCACACAATACTTTTTTTGTTATTTCTTTTTTCATTGTTAATTTTTTTTAACACTGTTTTGAGGTAACTCTATTGCCATCACAAGCTGCTGTAGCCATGAGCTTATTTAAACCATGTTTGGGCTGGATGTAGGACTTATGTTCAGAGTCCTGAACTGGTTAAAAAACCTTGTGCATTGTGTAGCAAACATTTAACTAGTCGGTACTGGTAATAAATGAACACATGTTGAGCGTTACTTGAGATAAACATAAGGTTACCAACCCAAGGGGCAACCTGGACAAAACAGCTTTTATAATGCAGTTCAAACAGTAAATCCCTACTCCAGCCAAGCCTTTTTATTTTAAGATAGAGTACGGAAAGGTGTGCTGTCACTACTTGCAAATAACTGCCCCTAGACGCAAACAGTTTAAATCCAGGGGCAATTGTACACATGTAACTGTTGCATGTCCTAATGAAATGCAAATGGCCGCGAACAACTGGCGGTGCTGCTAGCTTTCATTGATTTTTATAAAGCTTACGTTTACTGAATGACTGAACGTATTTAGGTACTTTACCACATCAAACAAACTAACCTTAGTGAAAAGCTAACAACATTAAAGACATATGATATTACCTTCTTGAAAGTTGTGTGCACCATCTGGCAATGCAAGAAATGGCAGGTACTTCCATTCTCCTGGTAAGATGTTGCTGTCATGTCCTTCCCCAGGGATCAAGGGTGGGTAAGAAAACTCTACCTGCACAAAAACATGAGTTAAATGAAAAAAAAAAATACGCCATTAAGCACTTAGTTGATCTAAATATGTGTCCTAAATATAGAATAAAAACTGGAGAATAGCCGAAGGAGGCAGCAGAACAAAGAGTAGGGACACACAAGCTGAGGGACCAAACAGCCCTGTTGTCCATGCACCACCACAGACAGGGACACAAGGCATACAAAATACACTTGAACAGGATTTGCAATTTACCAAATACAATTCCAAATAGACAAACCCTTAAAGCAATCCTCTCATAGAAAAAGAAGGCTGCCATTGCTGACCACCTTCTGCAAATTCTAGTTTCCTGGCTGTAAAGGTGCCCATACACCTTACAATTATCTGCAGATTTTCCGTGGTCAGATGGAAAAAGTGCAACAGATTGGCCCAGGTGGAGATTACTCCATCCACATAGTTAAGTGCAGATGGAGGAATCTGTTGCACCTTTTCCATCAGCCTCTTCCTCCCTCCATTTCGGTGGTTAGAGGATCATAGACATCATCTAATGAAGGGCCCATAGCCTGCATTATAAGTGAGGACACTCAACGAGTATGAGCAGAGGTGGAGAGAGGCAAGTGCTGACTGCCAGGAGAGCGAGGATTAGGCAAGTAAAAGTCCGCTATTCCATACCCCTTGACATAAATGAACAGTTAACCTAACTGCAGGAGTAGTTTGCTTTTTTTAATTGGAGATAGACTTTAATTCAGGGTGGATTTCTGATACCATATTAAGAATAAAAATGCCAAAACTTGTTAACCAACTTATTTACAAAATTTTTAAAAAGTATAGGTAAACTAAATCACTAAGATCTTATGTAAGCTTCAACGTGTTAATGTCATTTCAGAAATTGTTTTCTATATTTTTTAATTTACAGCTTTCATTTAAAGAAGAACTCTGGGCATAGATAATCCTAACCCTTGCAGTGGGGCTACACCATTATCACCTAAGGTAGCCAGTAACAGCACTGATGCAGAGCTGACACTGGATTAAGTCCATGTAGTAAGTGGCTACAAGAGCCTGGAAGTGATCAGCAGCACTGAGGTGTAAAAGTAGGTTGCCAAAAAGAAGATAAAATCATAGCAATTGTTTCTAATACACAGTGCTTTAGCAAAGTAATGTCCTCTAGTTAGGGTTTACTTCTATTTTAAAGTGTATTTCCACTTTTGCAGCCAAATTGGTATAACACATTTTGTATTTATCAGATAAAAACACAATCCCCAAATTTGAGTCCCAAGACTTTCTATTGGGACAGACCACTGTGAAAGGGCCAAGAAAAACCTGGAATCAGCCATCTTGTCTGATTAAAACATCTAAAAAAGACAAGATTTTTTTTTTTTTTAAAGAAGAACTAAGGGGTAAGTGTTTTTCCCCATAGTTCTACTTAGGGTCACGGGAGGACATAAACTAGCGTCCTCCCGTGACCCAAAGCTCAGTATACCGCGAGCTACAGCTTGCGGTATACTGAGACCGCCGCAGCCGGGACGGATCCTGACATTACTGGTGAGATCCATCCAGCTGCGTGAGTGACAGCTGGCTCTGCCTATCTAGAGGCAGAGCCAGCTGTAACCGCCCCCTCCCCAGTTTGTTCCTCCAGTTAGCGCTGGCGGATCGGAGTGGGGAGGGGGCAAATCCCTGCAGGGAGCCATGAGTGACAGTCATGGCTCTCTGTAGGGACATGACCGAGAAGTGAGCGAGCGACAGTATGTGTTCGCTCACTTCCCGGCGCGCGACAGTTTTATTGTCACACGTCGGCTCGAACTATGAGGTTGAGTGAAAATCACTCACCTCATAGTTCTCCTTTAAGTTATTTTTCAGTATGCTATGTAAATAGGAGCAGATAACGAACATATTGAGGGGTTTTCTCAAATTTGACTGCAAAAGTGGAAATACACTTTAAAATGACCAACACTTATACCAATATAGCAGCCTATGCACATTGAACTGCCTTGCAAATTACAGAGGGAAAAACACCAAAAGATCACCCCCAACACATATGCAAACACTTATATCCTGAGAGTGTAGCAAGTAAATGTTATGTTTTATAGTTTGTTTATATTTGCACAGCCAATTGATAGCGATCATCAAATATTGTACAAAAGTTGCCTGAACTAATAACTTATTCACCATTTAATTTGTTGAAATACTCCCTACGATCTTATAGATCTCTGGGACCTCTGTGGCAATATCTCAATCTCATTTCCCTTTTCAGCCCACCTGCCACAGTCATAAGGGAGTGTCATTCCTTCTACAGCATTTTTCATTTATGTTAAAGCTCAAATTTAGTCTTTTTTGTTTTGGTGGAGATACAGCACCAAACACATTAGTTTACGTGTAATGGTTTGTTTCCCATCTCCTGCAGACTGCTGCTTTCTGTAAAAATCATGCTGCCTTCATAGCCGTCAGATATTGCCCTGGTGCTGTACGGGTTAGCAGCAGCCGCTGCTAGAGTGAAGAATGATGCTGCTTGCCCTCTCCACCATTAAGAGAACTCTTATTACTATTTTCCCACAAAGCATTGCATTCTGTAAAAGGGCAGTGGAGATCCTGTGATTCATTCACTCTTCCATTTACAGAATGTAATGCATTGTGGAAGAATAGTAGTACAAGTTCTCTGAATGGAGGAGAGGGCACGGAGGGACATGAAGGCTGCTGCCAATTTATAAAATAACAGAATATAGCCACTCAGGGCAACATCCAATGGCTACTAAGGTGGCATGAGCAGATGAGATTTAGAATGAGCTGCAGTCTGCAGGAGATAGAATACACACAACTACACATAACAAATGTGTTTGGTGTTGTATCCCAATAAGAAAAATGAGCAAACTTCAGTTTTAGGACCCATACACTGAAATTAAAATACATGCTTAAAGGTGCGTCTGGAAGCATGTCATTCTTCGCTATGGCTGAATACACACCTAGAAGTTTAGCAGCCCCATTGAGTCTAGCTGCGTTTAGACAGACAAGTGTTTTCTGCATCCTGGGACCATTCAACTCGGTTCTACAATCGCCAAACACACGCAAGTGCATGAAAAAAAATTATCTAAAAACTCGGCTAAACTATGGAACATATAAAGCACAGGAAAAAGTGACATGGGAAGCATAAAAGTCACTTATACTTGCCAGATAACGTTTCCTGTGTTTAACATAGGGAGCCTGTTACATGAGGCCTTAACCATTTCAGGACCGCAATACGTAAATATACGACAGGCCACAGAAGTGGTTATCTCAAGAACACAGCTGCCCCTACCCCCTCCGCCGGTTTCACCGGGCTCAGCTGTCCCCCGTGCGGGCCCGGGATCGGCACGGCGGGTCTCCCCGTAATGATCAGAGAGAGATCAGAAGGCTTCTAGCCGCTGATCACTGGACCCAGAAGTGTATTACATCACTTTCGGTCTCACTATTTACGTTCTCTGGCTCTTAGAGCCAGGAGAAGAAGCTGGGGAAGCAGATCTCTGCTTCCTCAGCTTATTTGGAGTCTCTAGGTGACATTAGAGGTCTGAAAACCCCTGGCGGATGACAGCCGCCGATAGACAGGCCCGATCTCAGAAACAAGTTGCTGGAAGACAGCTCAGGTAAGTCTGCACTTTGCCACACATGGTGCTCTATAAATGTATTGCTGGGATTTGTAGTCGTCTGTAGCTGATGGTACATGGTGCTGTATATTATACAGAGCAATGTACCATCAGCTATAGAGGAATACAAATCCCAGCAATACATTGTACACTGTATGTATAATGTATTGCTGGGACTTGCTGGAAGACAGCTCAGGTAAGTCTGCACTTTGCCACACATGGTGCTCTATAAATGTATTGCTGGGATTTGTAGTCGTCTGTAGCTGATGGTACATGGTGCTGTATATTATACAGAGCAATGTACCATCAGCTATAGAGGAATACAAATGGACGTGTTGTCCTCCTATATAGCTGGTGATATTCGGCATTGCGCTGTATAGAGGACTACAAATCAAGGAATAATACAGCGCAATGCAGAATACCGCCAGCTGTAGAGGAGTACAACAAATCCAAGCAATAGTACATTATACAGTGGTGCAATGCCGAATACCACTCGCTAGAGAGGACTACAACTCCCAGCAATATTGCATTATACAGCACAATGCATCAATAGTACATTATAAAGCGCAATGCAGAATACCGCCAGCTATAATGTACTATTGCTGGGATTTGTATTCCATTATAGCTGGTAGTATTCTTCATTGTGCTGTATAAATGTACTATTGCTGGGTTTTGTAGTCCTCTATAACCCATGCCATTCTGCATTCATTGCTGTATAATTTTACACTTTTCATTTCACTATATTGCACACTTTTTTTCCTTCCACCGCTCCAAGCTTGCTCCTGTGATGGACTGCAATCTCAATACAAACTAGTAGCCCATCACTGGAGCCATTTTTAAAAATGTATTTTATTATTTTATTTTTTTATCCGATTAATCTAACTTAATAAATCGGCTAACTAATCGATTTTGAAAATAATAGTTAGCTGCAGCTCTACCCCTGATGTCTTCATAAAGAGGACCTGTTACACCCTATTACATAAGGGGGTTGTTAGCCCCCTATGTGATAGCAATAAAGTTAGTGTATAAACATTTAAAAAAGGAGAACTATGGGGTTAAGGCTTTTCCCCATAGTTCTCCTTAGGGTAACGGGAGGACACAAACTAGCGTCCTCCCGTCACCCTAGGCTCAGTATACAGCGAGCTGCAGCTTGCGGTATACTGAGACGCCACAGTATACGGCGATCTGCAGCTTGCGGTATACTGAGACACCACAGTATACGGCGAGCTTCTGCTCACGGTATACTGAGCCTAGGGAGCCTAGGGACAATTGTGCCGGGATCCGCCCAGCTGCGTGACTGACAGCTGGCTCTGCCTATCTAGAGGCAGAGCCAGCCCCCTCCCCCGTCCGTTCCGATCGGAGCGGGGAGGGGGGAATCCAGCACCTCCCCTGTCACGGCAGAGAGCCGTG